CTTTGCTTTCCCTGCCTCCATCACCCTCTGTTCTTCAAAGAAAAAGCCTCTTCTCTCATTCAAACACATGCGGGTACACAAGCTCAGTCAATAATGATGGTCGTGGTCATGCAGGAATTGAAAAAGCAGATCGGTACATATGACAAAAAGACTTGGTTTGGTCAATTTCAGTTTATAGTGTCGTTACTTAATTTTATAACGTAGGAATCATTTATGGTAAGGGGTTGAATTATTAGATAATAATACACACCTAAGATGGCGTTACACATCAGGAGTGCATTATTTTTGGCAACACTTTAGTTTAAATAACAATTTACACCATTTAAAATTGGTTTATTCCATGCAAGTTTTTGTAAATTAAACAGAATTTAACTGTAATATGAACTGTATTTTACTGTAGAATAGCTATGCTACTGTATTTTAAAGTTGCATTGTAAAGATTACTGTCCCTTAAGGTAATAATATTCATACAATTCTGCAAATACATACAGCAAGATAAACGGTGCTGTAAATGTAAATACAGTATTTTACTGTAATTGATTTACAGTAAGTTACTGGCGAACTACTGCCAGTAAGTTACTGTAGATATTACAGGAAATTGTTAACAGTGTATTATTAAGATGTTTACTGTTTACTGCACTTATACAGTATGATCTTATTTTACATCCCTAATCCTACCCAATACCTAAACCCATCTACTATTTTACTGACTAATAATAAGCAGCTAATTAGTTAAAAGTTTGTTAATTGTTAGTTAATAGGTTGAATTGTACATTAAATGAAACTGTGACCTTATTTTCTAATAATTCAATGGATGAGAGTCAATTATTCCACTTCTACTATGGTTACCACACATAAAGACACTGTTCAGATTTTAAGACATTTGTCTGTTTTTTGTCTTAAAACTTCTCCTGTACTGTATGTACACTGTTAGAATTTTTTGTGAACAGTACTTAACTGTAATATGTAATATGAACTATTTTACTGTATGACATTTATGCAGTGTTTTACTGATTTTTAAAATTGTATTGTGGGAAACATCCTCTTGGCACCATTAAAGCAGTATTCTTAAATTTCCTGTGTATCAAAATACAGTAAACACAAATGAGCGTGAAACTTGGCCAATCATGAAAAATACAGTAATTTATCGTTCGGACCATTTTACATGAAATAGATAAATGGACAATGAATTACAAGTTATTTTTTATTGTATGGAAAATATATTACAGGTGAGAAGACTACTGTATGTTTTACAGTAAAACTGTAAATACATGTACAACAAAATAAATGGTCATTTACGACAGGCGGTTCATATTAATACACACCAAAGATGGTGTTACACCTCAGGTGTGAATTAATTTCTGATAAGTCAATGAATCAGAGTCAGTTACACTTATACTATGGTTACCACACAAAACGACACTGTTCAGATGTTGTATTATAAGACATTTGTCTCTTTTTTGTCTTTAAACTTCTCTTGTGTGTACACTGTTAACAATGTTTGTATACTACACAGTGTTTAACTGTAATATGAATTGTATTTTGCTGCATGACAGTTATGCAGTGTTTTACTGTATTTTAAAAGTTGTATTGTTGGAAATATCCTCTTTGTACGTTACATTTTTTTAAAGTTCCTGTGAATCAAAATACAGTAAACAAAAATCATAAGAAATAATTTATCGTTTGGACAATTTTACAGTAAATCGATAAATGAACAATGAATTACAAATTCATATTTATTTATTATTGTATGAAAATATATTACAGGTGAAAGGACTAAAACTACTGTATATTTTACAGTAAAACTGTAAATACAGTTTGTAAAGATGACCAGAAAATACTTTGTAAAGACAAATCTGTAAACACATTTACAACAAGATGGATGGTCATTTACGACAGGTTATTGAATTATTAGGTATTAATGCACCTGTACGGTGCCGTTTCACCCTTAGGTGTGCAGTAGTTTCTGGTTATGGAGCAAAATCCGTTATTATGTTTATACTATGGTTACCACACACAAAGACACTGTTCAGATGTTGTATTTCAAGAAATTTGTCTTCAAACTTATGTGAGTACACTGTTATTTATGCAATACTGTATGTTACTGTATTGTAAAGTTGCATTGTGGAAAATTGGCACCATTAAAACAAAATTTTCTGTGAATCAAAATACAGTAAACAAAAATAAGCGTGAACTACTGGATATTTTACAGTAAAGATAAACAAATTTGTAAATCAACAAGATAAATGGTACTGTAAATATTAATTACAAGTCTGATAGAACATTTCTGAAAAAATGCTGGCATTACAATACTGTAAGAATTTCGAAAATAAATCTATATTTTTCTTATAAAATTTCCCTCAAATAATTATTTGGGGGGGGGGGGGGGGGGGGGCAACTTTCTTTTACAGTGAATCCACTTACATTTGTACAAAAACTTAATTCGATTTTTGTTGGGACGACCTAAATATATTGTGTGGAACCCTGCATTTTTTTTGTGTTTATTCAGCTTCTTCTTTTAAAATTTAATGCATTTATAATTCAAAGTGTTTTGCAAAGCATTTAGAAAAAAAAAAGGGGGGGGGGGGAATATAATATACAGTGGTCAAATACAATTAAATACAATAAAAAAAATTTAAAGTTATAAATTGATGAACATATATGTAAAATATTTCTTTATAATGAATTTCTTGTTGTAATTAAAAACAGCATGAACTAAATGAATAACCGATTATGTAAAATAATGCAAAATCAAAAAATCCCAGTTCCAGCTTTATATTCTACAAGCAATTATTTTGAACATTATATTCAATGTTGTGTAAACGCTGAGGTGATCCACCGAGTGTATCCGCTGCTTCTGTATGCAGCTGTCTAATGTTTTTTTTTATTTTGGTAAGGAGTCTGTTACAGTAGTCCACCCTGCTGCTAATGAAAAATGAGTTGCCTAGAGCTCTGTAATGTTGACACAGCCGCTGCTCTTATCAACCAGATGTCATGCCTGCATTTATGAACTCTATAAACTGATGCAGATTTATTAGCCATAACAATTATTTCACTGATAAGTGAAAGTGATCGTTTTTGATGCTGTGTTATGATTTCTTAAAGGCTGTAGTCAGTGTTGGTGCAAATATATTTAGCACATTAATTTGCCATATTGGATGTAACTGTTATATTTATTGAGAATTGAAAGGCACCGTTCACTGTAAAGCTGCTTTAAAAGAATAGAAATAGCCATACTTTATAGAGGAATTTATTCTTTAGAAATAATATCAGTTTCTATAATTATTATTATGTATAAATATATAGTTAAATATATATTGGCTATACTTATTTGTTTTGTTTTTTTAACTTTTGTTGCTTTATTAATAATAATTGAATAATCTGATTATTTACATGGTAATAGTGAGAAAACTACTCTTTGTAAATCTTAAAACAATTTAACAGTTTAATTTAAAGGTTTTGTTTTATTTTGTGTTTTCTAAATTATTACTCTTATTATTATTACTTTTATGGGAAGAACATGATTAATATTATTTAAGATACTTTACATACTATTTTGATAGTGTTTTTAATTTACTGGTGCTTTAAGGCATTATTCTTAGCAGAAAACACTTTTAGTGTAATGTTTAATATTTGTGTTTAAATAATGTAAAAATCAATCATTTAATTTAGGAAACATTATCAAGTTATACCAATTAATGTTTATTCATTGCTTCATTTCGCTTAGTCCCTTTATTAATCTGGGGTCACCACAGCGGAATGAACCACCAACTTACCCAGCATATGTTCTATACAGCGGATACCCTTCCAACTGCAACCCATCACAGGGAAACATCCATACACAATCATTCCAATTAAGGGTTATTGTTATTCTTAATTAATGTTTATTTTTCAAACAATTGTTTGCTTTTTGAATATTTCAATATTGATATTTTTTAGTTTGTGTGTGTGATATTTGGAAATATGTTATATGTGTAGGCCTGTATAGCCAGCATATTAAAAGGGGTAGTTCTTTTTTCTCAAAAAGTGGACCTTTTTGCAGTTATCCTCCTCAAATGATGAGGTTCAAATGCTGCATTTTAGTAACATTTTAAGCATACATTTGTGCTGGATTAGTTAGTCGGATGGTTCTCATTACCACACTTTTTGATGCAACAAAAATACTTACTACATTTTTGTCAAATTTCTTATCTTACTATTTTTTGTTTACAAAAATGTATGTGTATTTAGAAATGTGCATTTAAACTGGAGGTTGTTACAGTTTATATATTATGTAATGAGATAAGAATTAAAAAATATGAAAAAGTACTTATTTTTTAAATGCTAATGTATTATCTTTATCATTAAAAAAGGGAATCTGTTAAAACTTGTTTTAAATTAAAAACTGTAGTCTATATGCAAATAACAAACAGGCCAGCTAATTTCCTCAGTCAGAATTCATCCATTTAAATACTCTTTTTGGTTATTTTATTGGTTTTTCTTCTTAAAGCCTTCTTCTATTGGTTAGTTTCACAATTTATAATGGCATACTTACACAAATGTAATAAATGAGCTTATATAGGGGCCAAAATCTGGACTTTGTCAGAAGGGGGTGGGTCTTCGAACCACCCGATGTCTTCTGGCCTTTCTGATTTATACATCTTATTTTATTAATATGATAATCCATATGCAATTTTAAATAACATTTTAACATTAAACTATTTAATATAATATAAAAGCTAATAATTAAGTATAACAGCATATAACTCTAATCACAATTCAGTAAAATATGCTGTTTTCCAAACCAAGATAAACAAAAAAAATAAATAAATAACATTAACTTCAGCTGTTACTAAACAAATTTAGACCACGCTGAACCCAAAATCCCACCATTCTCCCTCACCACGCGTCTGTTTTTATTGTAAAACAAATGCAAATCAAGCTGCAAAAATCATTGGCTGTCTGACCTATCTCGTGCGTTTCCGGTGAAAGGTGCCACCCAATGGCTGTCCGTGTCTTACCCCTCGATTCCGCTGCACTGCTCTCTGACCCCAGTGGCAAAGCGCGCTTACTGCACTCGTCTCTCTCGGGCTCCCCCTCTTCTCTTCTGTCTCCCTCCTTCCTTGGCTGTCGCATTTCAGTGAGAGTGCTGGAGGAGAGAGACCCTGGGGGTCGAAGGTTCTGCCCTGCCCGCCGCGACCCCAACCCTTTACGGCTTCCGAAACATCCGATGCCCGCCGCCTTTGACACATCAGCGGACCACCTCCAAGCGCTTTTGGGCCAAAAGAGAAGGTACACACAAGTCGCTTTTGAAGAAGCTCGCTGGGGGGAGAAATAGCGAGGCACAAAGCGGTAGCTGGGTGTCATGTTCGAGGGAAACCACTTTGAGTTGAAACGTTTGTAACGTTACTATTATTTGTTAATACAGCGGATATATTGTAACATTTCGCGGCGATATATTGAAATATTTTCGCGCCGTCAAGTTTCTGTCGCGTTTGCCGTCTAAATGAAAGAATTCTGCTGGTATTTAGTGTTTTATATGTGCTCCTGCTTTGTTTTGTGCCTTATTTCAATGATCGTTTTTGATTCCGCCGCCTCGATAGTAAGCAGGACAGATTTGCGTTAACGTTAACCGCACGATGAAAAATAGACTTTCCTCGTGCAGTCTGGAAACTGGGTTTTGTTGACAGATCATTATGGAGTCAGAGGCTGATGGTCTTTAAGTGTTATTAATGTGCTCGGTCTGAAGTCGTCCGGGGAGGGCGAGCAAAGTTCAAGTTTATGGCAAAAGGTTAACTTAGTTAGCCCGCCCGAGACTGTGAGCGTGAGGCGGTGCAGAGCAACAAAATAGATGAAGGCAGGTAACAATGAGGGAGATTTAATAGCCTTGTTTAACTGGGCATTATTAAAAGCGAATTGCGCTTTTGTCTTTGTTATAAAGAAGGCTGCAGCATTGTGGGAAAGCTCCATTTGACAGTTTGAAATCCACATTGCAAAAGCAGGAAGAGCAAATCTGAGGTTTGCAACCAGGGCCATAGAAAGGATGTAGAACATGTAATCATGTACATTATAATTGAAACATTGATTGTTATTATTACACAGTGCATGCTGGTAGGGAGGTAAGAACCCTTAAGACTACATTGTGTCTTTCTTCTTTCCATTATTCTTTAAATCTGTTTAACACATTTTAATCTGTTTTAATCATTGTTATTTTTTTTTATTTTCTTATACACTTGTCTATTTTATTTCTGTTTATGTAAAGCAATTTGAATTGTCACCGTGTATAAAATGTGCTATTTAAATAAACTTGTCTATAGAGAATTTAAGATTTTATTATTGACTTGATCTGAATTCATTACCGTTGATTCCATAAATTAGTTGGCTAATACATTTAGCCTCTGTGCAACATATTTTAACTATCTTTAAGTTGTCTGTTATATACATTATTTCTTAGCAGTTCTTTGTTTTTCCAAGCAATATTTTCAGAGACTCTGTAAATTCTGGCCATCTATCAAATGTTTTATGTTGTCCATATAAAAGTATGAACTGATAAACCTCTAACTTGTGTTGGTATAAAAAAATAAAGATTTACACACTTGTCTAGGGGAAATAAAAGGACATGTTGATTGAGAAAAAGGATATGAAAAAGGAAAAGATATTGTAATATTTTTGCATTTTCATGCTAAACTTTTCCTTGTGAGTGAACTAAAAGTTTTGTGTGTGTTATTTTTTGCCAGCCATCTCATATTTTTACATCAACATGCCCACTTTGGTGTTTTTTATTATTGAGCTCAATTATGCTTTTCAAGTATATATAAATTATTATAATTTATAACAGATATGAACATTTATAGTAAAAACAACTATACTGTGATTGCTGAATATTTATACATTCTCACTCGATCATTACCTTGTTGTTTAATTGAATTCGGATTTGTATCATTGCAATGAATAATTATAAAATACAAATGAAAATTTATGCAACTTTACGTCTCCTAAAATGTCTCAGGTTTTCTTCATCAGCTAAATCAATGAGACAATTCAACAACTAACAGCATTTTAAAGAATTTATTAACACATGTGGCTTTAATAAAGTGAACTAATTGGTCTATGGAAGAAACAAGGGCTGCATGATATTGAAAAAATTTGACATTGCATTATTTAGTTTTTCTGCAATATATATATTGCGATATGAATTTTATTTTACCAGATGCATTTGATAGCTCTATTTGGTAAGATTTCATTAATTTAGATTGATCGGGATAATCAAGTCTTTTTCTATGTAGTGCGTTTGCATAAATGATAATAAACGACAAAATATATAAATACACAGAGCAAGATAAAAGTGAAATAAACAGCACTCTGTGGTTTTCTGAGTCCAACAGGAGGTACTGAATCAAACATAAAATAACATGGTCATTGTGTAAATTATTTAAAATGAATAATATATTTATAATTTTAATCAATCTAATCATGTGATGTGACTATTGCGGATGCACACATTGCAATATCGTTGCTCAAACGATATATTGTGCAGCCCTAGAAGAAGCTGAACTTTGTTTATGAACAGTAAACAATAGTTTCACTTCATAAGACTACAGTGTATCATCAAGTATTAATTCTGTTTACCCTGTATATGTTTTTTTGACCCTCCAATTAGCAATTGTCTTGAATTATGAATCACCACAGAACATAATTTTGGCAAAACCCTTCTTTAACATTCTACTTTAAAAAAAAATCCTCAATGGCCTGAGGTTGAGCAAATTAGCAGAAAATCTTAATTTTTGGCTGAACTGTCCCTTTAACATTGCAGCTTGGTGTCTGTGTAGGTGGTGACTCAGATTCAAGCCTCGGGACTAAAGGATGCTTGCTCACCGGATCTCCCCTGTTCCTCTGTGACCTGCTCATGCCCCAACCAGAGGTGCCATGGCGCGCAGAATATCCTCCCAGGGGAAGGTCACCATCTCCGTGGATGAGTACAGCTCCAACCCGACCCAAGCCTTCACCCACTACAACATCAACCAAAGCCGCTTCCAACCCCCTCACGTCCACATGTGAGTGTCTGTGTACAGTCAGTGTTCCTGTAACTGAAACATTGATTTAATTGATTGATTGAGGGCACGACAGAATGCTGACAGCGACGACATCTGGCATCTTTTGTCTCATCTTGCCCGCCAGGTGATCGGAGACTCCTGCGGCTTCACTTCTGTCGTAATGAATTAAATTGACCTTTTAACTTAATATTGTTTGCAGATTAACCATTTTAATGAGATTTTTAGGGGGGCATAGCAGAGTTTAATAATGCTCTGATGTCTGAGATGAATCCAGGCTCGTTTCGGACTGGCTATTTATTAGTTCTTAATTTCCTTTATGGCTTTTAGTCTGAAACCAGTGCAAACGATCTGCCGTTTTTAATCTCTAAACAATCCACAACTGACACTGTAAAATTAACATACAGTTCATTTTCCACAAAATATGATCTTTTTCAGTGCTGTGACACAAATAATCATCATAATAACATCCAAAATAAATTAACACAATGTGTGTGACCTATGTATAAATGCACACACACATATAATACAAAAATCTACAAAAAATACATCTTTATTTTTATTTAATGTGTTTATACACTATATATATTATAAATAAACATTTTCTCAAATACGCATGCATACATAATAAATACACACACACACACACACACACACATTTAAATGGAAAACTACTTTGGGTGTGTAATCATGTGACCGCACTATTTAGCATTAAAGCATCTGTGCCCACATTTCATTGTGATCACAATACACATGTTATAGCTAAAACAGTGAAAGATGCGCCTCGTGTTCTTGTACTTATTAACCAGAGCGGGGTCAAAGGTTAGTTGAGTTGATTAGCTCTATAACAATAGCTCTTTGACCTCAGGGTCAGAGCTCACCTCTAAAGAAACCTGATTATTGACTGATGCTGATGATGGCATAATGAGGCCCGGTGCAGATACTAAAGAATGGACCAACCTTATTAGCCGAGCATTTGCTGATTCAATGGTACCATGCAATTAAAGGCCCATCAGCACAAGCAAAAGGGATCGACCAGTATGCATGTGCCATTGAATTGCTTTTAGCTTAAGTGTGGAAGAAATGGCTGTTTGTCGTTAAATTCTAATATGTGAGCTGATGCAAAGTGCACTAAAGCAAATTAGCAGTTTTATCAATATAATAAATGCTGTAAAACTGGTAGACTGTAGCATGATTCATATATATTAAGTTCAAAAACAGGATGCTCAGTTTTACATGTTAAATTCATGCCTGCATTTCAATGCAAATCTGAGTTAAGATTTTTTGACCGTTTTATTTCCCCATACAATGAAAGCCTTATATTCTATAGACAAACAAATGCTTATTTATTTAATTCTTGCCAAGGTTACAGAATTTTCTTTTACCATTTCACCTAATAAAATTCAACTCAAGTTTATTTGTACTGTATAGCGGTTTTCACAATAATTATGGTTTCAAAGCAGTTTTACAAAAGGTGCATATTATTGCATTACAATCAAATTCAGAAAAGATAAGGTTATTAGATACCATCAGTGGTGGAGAGAGTACTGAAAAATCATACTCAAGTAAAAGTACCGTTACTTGCCCAAAAATCTGGTGCAAGCAAAGAATCTGTTGTAAATATTACTCAAAGTATGAGTATAAAGTAGACCTTTGAAAAATACTCAAGAGTAGTGAGTATTGAGTTTTACGCTGTGAAAGGCGGATGTGTTTACATGGAGTTTGTGCATGTGTGTGAAAACATAACATTCTGTAGTGCATTTAGTGATCGTTTAAGGCCATTTGCCGATTTCCATCACTATACAGTAAACATCCTTCATCTTCTCATCAGTAATATACAGGGGTGCCAAACTTTTTGTTATAAAGGGCAAAAATCCATGCTTGATTGAGAGCTGTGAGCCGAAAGTAAGCATCACAGTCTGTATTACATTAAGGTTGAGATAGGTAATTTCCTAATTTATTTCATAAAATGTAAAAATAAATAGAAAAAATACTTCAACAGTATGTACTAATGCATTTAAATTTTTGGAAAATGTATATTATTTTAACTAACCTATTATAATAAAATCATACACTTTATAAAACAATTGAGTTCAACTCCATACAATAGTAATGCTGAACCAGTCTTTGACTTAGTTTGCAAGCTGATGTCTTTTGCTTTGTACCCTATTTGTTGTGACAGTATGTACATTTACAAAAAGATATAATTCATTTACAACATTTAATTTAAACATTTGATTTCAGTTTGCTGTAGTAAAAGATGTAGTAAAAGTACTGATACTGCACTGATACTGCACTAAAACTCAAGGGAAAATAAAAGTACACATTTTTAAAACTACTTGGTAAATTACAATTCCTGAGAAAAACTACTCAATTACAGTCATTTGAGTAATTGTAATCTGGTTACCGTAGTTTGATTAGTTGCTAGTAACTTTAACTAATTAACTTGTAACTAATAGTTTTTAACAGTTGGAGTTATTATATAGAAACATAGTTAACCTGCATTTAAAAGTAATGTTTACATATAGTAAACGCATTTCTTCTGAACAAACATGCTCTTTACATTCATAGGGTAGAGCCGCTTCCTTACGATGCACCGAAGTCTGTGGGTCATACGCGTTTTGTCTGCGTCTCAGACACACACTCTAGGACAGATGGAATCCAGATGCCTTTCGGCGATGTGTTGCTTCACACGGGAGACTTTACTGAGCTCGGCCTGCCGTCTGAAGTGAAGAAGTTTAATGACTGGTTAGGTAAGTGCGCAAAACAGTCCTTTCACCTGTGCTGACAAACACTTCCCCTGCTGTCAAACAAAAGGTCAACAGTGATGGTCTTTAAGTCACATCTACCATAACTGTGTGTGTGTGTGTTTTTTTCAATAGTTAATTCATAGTTTCATTCATTCATTCCATTTGTTGTTGTTTTATGCAATAATTTTGTCCAGTTCAATTCAGGGCAATTTGGGCAGTGAATTTTCCCCCTCTCTTTAGATGTTTTTTATTTTTATCTTCCCTCATTCTAATTTTTTGTCCATTCATTTTCTGCATTCTGTTTTAATGGTTATATAATTTTAGATTAAAAAAACATAGGAATTATAGGTCCCTAAGTGACCTATTTTAAGACAAGCATATCAGTGTTATATATTTTGGCGTCTCAGTGCAAAAACTGTTGTTAATCTGCAATATGAACAGCATTTCTAGCTGGTAAGAAGGCTTTTGCTTTTATTAAAGGTGAAGGAGGTCAGTTTGGAAATTGAAAAATGCCCATCTGTTGGCTTTACTAGGTGCCCTTCGGTCTGGTTTGTTGGCCTCTGCAGCAATCCACTTTGATGAAATCAAGGTTCTTTAAGGTTGCTGAGGTCAAAAACATAGTTTATCTGGGGAAATCAAAGTCATGCTTCCTCCTACGGATGGCAGCCAATAAATAAAGTCATTACATTAGATAATCTGTAACTTTAATTCACTTTTACATACACCTTCAAAAGTGATTAGTTACTTTAAAAAAATTGAGTAAACCTTTTGCCTTAAAAGCAACAAGTCGATTTTACTTGAAGTCAGTAAGTCTATTCACTTAACTTTAATAATATATTTTGGCCTGTTTCCACTGAGTGGTACATTATGGTTCAGTACGCTTTTATGCAGGTTCCACTGTCAAAAGGTACCAAAAAACGAACCGTTCCATACCACTTTTTGGGTACCCTTTCCAAAGGATACCCAAGACAACAAAAGGGTAGCAAAAGGCTGAGCTAGAAACGCAACTAAACTATTGGTATAAAGAGAAACGTCAGGAGAATGAAAACAAATAAAGCTCCATTTTTAAATACACAGCCAAGACATTACATCGTAATAATGTATACATATAATAACAAGCCATGGTCGACTCAAGCTCAAATAATTATTTTATGATGAACAAATAATGATGAACAGCCACAAAGCTAGGAAGAACAGAATCTGTGTGTGTCCTGTTGTTGTTTGAGGTCATCTAAAAACGTGAGTGTTTTAACTTTCTCCAGAGAGCTTGTTTGCATGCTCGCCATGTGTCTATATTTGAAATAGCGAACTTGAGCTGATGATGATAGTAACATGCACATGATTATTAAAGTGCTTCTCGCATCTTTTCAGAAATGGACAAACGCCAGAGTAAAGTGTGAAAAACAAGGGAGCGAATTATTCTTTTAGCAACCAAAAACATGAACAAAGTGCCATGTTTAACTATTATCACTGCCTTTTGGACTACTATGAACTCGGAATGATGGAATTACTTTTTATCAAGATGTTAACCTTAATGGCAGATTAAGTACTATTTTGGATTATCATTGATCTGCTGCTATAATCAAAAATATTTAAAGAAAGTTTAGTTATTAACATTTATATACAAGTAGGACTATATATTTGGATAAAGCATCTTTTTAGAATATGTGTGAACGACCCGTATAGCTTTACTTTGACATTTCCTCAGGCGAGAATAACATTGACTGAAACTTTCACTTACACCATGCTCTCCTAAAAGAGTACCATTGGTACCAGTATCATACCGAACCAAACTGTACCGCTCAGTGAAAATGAGGCATTCAACTTTTATTAAGTTTATTAAATAATTATTAGGCAATGAGTTTACTATCTTTTTTAATGTAAAGTCAACTAAAGGCTTTTTACAATATAGTAGGTCACTAAAGAATGCCTAACATGTCACTCCCTATGAATATCCACAAGCATAAGCGTTTTTATACATCTGCTTCCAATGTCTGTCATTCTCATTACGCGTCTTCCCTTACAGGCGGCCTTCCCTACGAGTACAAAGTTGTCATCGCTGGAAATCACGAACTTACCTTCGATAAAGATTTTATGGCGGAACTCATAAAGCAGGATTACTACCGTTTCCCCTCAGTGTCCAAACTGAGGTCTGAGGATTTTGACGACGTTCAGTCCCTCCTCACAAACTGTGTGTACTTACAGGACTCTGAGGTCACCATTAAAGGATTCAGGATATACGGGGCTCCCTGGTAAGCATTTCTAAATCCTTGTTGTCATTGCTACATTTGTCATGCATGAATATTTTGTGGGTTATCGAGCATTTGAATAGGATATTCAATGGCTATTAAAATCAGGCTTGGTTTCTGTAGACTGAACTATAGATGATAATGTATATTATAAATAAATAAATTAGACTTGAGATCATTAGACATGATACTTGTTCAGAAAGAGTAAACTATATTTTCTGATAACAGTGTTAGTCGACAGTTTCTGTTTGCTTTTCTGAAGGCTGATGTAGAATCAGTAGCTGCATTAGGATTAATAAAAGCTCCATAAATCACAGTCTGCACTCAGTGTATGTACTAACCATATGCAACACATGTTAAGTGCGTTAGTCAGGTAACAGATGGCCAATTCACCCACATTAAGTTACTGTTTGATTAAATGGAATCAAATAAGGTTTAAGGCCCAATCCCAATTCTACCCCTTAAGCCTGGTTTATACTTCTGTGTCGAGTGATTGGTATGACCCACGGCACATGCCTTGCGCATTGTCGTACATTTATACTTTTGCATGCTGATTGTTGCTCTGCAATAACACTTCCTAAAATCTAACTGACAGTATTTTTTTATTTTCCTCTGTGTTGAATTTTTTCACTTGTGTTTAGTTTTTTCTGAATGCTACTTTAATGTAGAAGTAGCTCAAACTCACTCATTTTGAGGCAAGAACCGGGGATGTGCAACAACTTTAATCATAAGGTAAACACAAAACAAAACTTTCTATTTGGACCTCCGTCACGGGATCCTACACTTGTAAACACTCGCTTCAACGGGTTCGTGCGGCTCTCTGACCCACCCACACTTGTCAGCGCTACCAAGCTGACCAATCACAGTGCTTGCACTACTTGTCGTTGTGGCATTCAGTTACATTTTTTTTAAAAAGTGCGTGATGGCCATGCAAGGGCTATGCGTCCACACGCAGGCTGCTCCGGAGCATACGCTTGCCCTTGACGAAGAAGTATAAATCAGCCTTTAGCCCTCCCCCTTACCCCTACCCCTCATTTTGCGTGTTCTCGTAAGGGGTAGGGGTGTCCCAATTTTCTTCAACTTGAAGGTGTAGGGCTTAGGGGAAGGGCTAGAAAGCCTTTGAAACAGATTTTGAAACCAAGGGGTAAGAAAATTTCCCAGAGTACTACAACAACAGCACGGCTGCACACAAAAGTAAAGAAATGCACAAAATAGTATTTTTTGTCATTATCACAAATCTTTACAACAAACAAGCATATGTTTTAATACATTCATAACTGCGTTCGTGTTCGTCTAAAATAAAAACTGCTACAAAAATAGAATTGGGATTGGACCTAAGTCTCTTGTATAATTTTTCACAGAAATTTTTTGCTTTAGGGATAGGTGAAATCATATTGAATGTGTGATATAGTGGTAAAATGTGTCAGGAATATCGAAAACAAAACTTCCCACGATAATAATGATTAAACCTAAAATTTGGAAGCAGTTTGGTCTGGCTGTACAGCTTAACAAAAATATTTAGATGAAAACAATGTATTACTATAATAGTTTTACATGTATAGGAGCTTTTTTACAGACTGGAGACAATTTATAACATCAGTCAACTTTTGGAAAAAACTAGGGACGATCGGATCAGGATTTTTGCAGCTGATACTGAGTACTCATTGTGAAACTCATTGTAGGAGAATAAATTAAGGATGTACATGTAATAGTTAGAAGCAGCTTTAAAAAAAATACATAAAACAAAAAGAAGAAAGTGGTAAGAAAAATGACTGACAGTGCAATTTGGAATCATTGCTCACGTGTTGTAGCACTGTGGATGTAAAACCTGAGTTGTAAACTAACACTTGTGATTGGTTCGTGAGATTGGTTCATGAGAATGGCCAGATCATCAAGTACCGATCGAGTCTTCAATTGTGATTGGGGGCCGATACCGATTTTTGTTTTATCTGATCGATCGTAGCATCCCTAGAATTAACTTTTTTTTTTGACCCAACATATTTTTTAACAGCTTTATATCACAGACGAAATCATACTTTTTATAGTATTCTAGACAGCGAAAAGTCGAAATGTAAAATTCAAAGGATACCGATAAACCATATGATGGCAAAAGTGTTTATTTTCTTCATATTTCTTTAGTTTATTTTATAATTTTTTTTTACTTCATTGATTGAGTGTTTCTAGTTAATGCCATTAAAGTTCCAGTATGGATGAAATGGATTTTAAATCAAACTTTATTTACAATACCCTATTTTTGGGTAGTAAATGAATAAATAAATGATAAAAATATAAAAGACTTTTCAGTTTCAGGACAGAGAGACCTCTGTTGACCTGGGTCATGTTAGACACTGTTGTACTCTGCTCCGCGGGACATGAGACATGTTCTCACTCACTACAGATACTGTTACACACACACACACACACACACACACACACACACACATTCACTCTCTCTCTCTTCCAATCCATCTATCTTTCTCTGTTTCTCATTCCCCACACACAGCCATCATCACACATTGGCATCTTTCATGCAAAGGGCTCGTCTGATAAGCATAGCATTATCTCGGTTAACCCCTCACCCACTGGGCTACCCCTCACTCCCACGGGACGCCAGCGTGGGTGTGTTAGATTTCAGGTGTGAATGGATGCCTAGCAGTGTTTGGCACGGAAAGATTTGTAGCAATGTGACACACTGGTCAACAGCTACTAGAAGCAGCTTATCGCTTGGAGACCATGCTAAAGCGTCAATTGAAGTTGATGACTGTTGCTAAATGTGCTGGATTTTAGTCATCGCTTTGTTTTAGGTAAACTGTTGTCTTTAATGTTACATTTTATTATCAAAGTATATATTTTATTAAACTTTATACGCAAGTTTTAAATACTCCAACTGATCCTCCTGCGAGATTTTATTTTATTTTTTTGTCATCATTTCTTGGAATCCATGGCGTTCTAAAGTGGCAACATGTTAAGTATACCATGTGACCCACCAGCCCCAATGATCTATGTAGATATCGTATTTTGTTATTTTTAGCCCTATTCTGTAAAAATTGACAAATGTTTTAATATTATTGTGAAATTTCTGATACTCCAATTTTCAAATATGTAATAGAATATACATATATATATATATTTTTTTTAAATGGCTTAATAATAGCCATATTATTTGTTATGTGACTGGTAATGGGTGCCACCGTTGGTACTAGAAAGGATACAGCTGTGATCGTAAATTAACGTATAGTATTTATTCATTCATTCTCTATTTGGCTTAGTCCCTTTATTATTCTGGGGTTGCCACAGCGGAACTTATCCAGCATATGTTTACGCAGCGGATGCCCTTCCAGCTGCAACCCATCACTGGGAAATATCCATACACACTCATTCACACTCATACACTACGGACAATTTAGCCTACACAATCCACCTGTACCGCATGTCTTTGGACTGTAGGGGAAACCAGAGCACCCTGGGGAAACCCACGCGAACGCAGGGAGAACATGCAAACTTCACACAAAAACACCAACTGACCCAGCCAAGGTTTGAACCAGAGGCCTTCTTGCTGTGAGGCGACAGCACTACCTACTGGACCACTGCTTCGCTAAGTAGTAATTAAATTATTTAATAAATTACACATTAATTTTATTTTATTAGTGTCTACCCCTACTTCAACCCTAAACTCAACCCTTACTGTAATGTAAAAATATTATTTGTTGCACATTGTCACTAAAACTATGCTATATTGACGTGAGAAGCCTCAGCTGTATTATATTTAGACTTCACCCTCTCCTACAGCATGGTGAAGTCTAGATGGAATACAGCCAAGGATGTTCGCGCTTCAGGGAACAGCCAAGGTTGATCACACCAGTGTGATTGTATGCATGAAAAGGTTAAAGTGGGATTTAAAGGCTTAATTAGACAAGTTAGGGTGATTAGACACGTCATTAGCTATGTTTCCATCCAAAAGTGCAGATAAAATGTATGTGCAAAACTGGAATATCATAAAAGACATGTGAATAAAGCAGTGTTTCCATCCAATGAGTCAAAGAGATCAAAATAGTCCTTCCTGATTAAATGGCGCCAAATATTAATCGTAAAAAGTTAATTTGCTGCTGTAGTAGAAGCTGTTTAAATCTTTTCTTTATTCAATAAATTACTTGCAACTTAGGAGAAAATGACGACATGCCATAAACGTGTAGTGGCTTTTGGAGGTGTGAGACGCAGAGCAGACGTGCTTAACAATTCTGGAGGTAATTAATAGTTTACTAACACTAACACTAAAATGTTTAAAGAATTTTAGAATGACCAAAACAGCATTTTAGATGTTTTACAATGCAGTCAGCCATGCTGGATTGTCTGTTCAAATACATTTTTATCATCACATGATCTCTTACAACAATATCGCATCGACTTCAATGTGCATACTGGAATTTGTTCGGTAAAAGTGTTTCTATCGTAGTTTATGCGCATTTTTTCTTATTGAATAAAAAGTTTGTTTTATGCAGTTATGTACGTTTGACATGTTTTTAGGTGCATTTTAAAAATGTATGCACATCTTATATGTTTCCCTTAATCACATAAAAGTAAGTTAATGAAAACATAGCTACAGTATAATGATGGTTTGTTCTGTAGACAATACTAAAAAAATTGCCTAAAAGGGCTAATAATATTGAGCATAAAATGTTTTTAAAAAAATTAAAAACTGCTTTTATTTTATCTGAAATAAAACAAATAAGACTTTCTCAAAAAAATTATAGGAAATATTGTGTCAAATTCCTTGCTCTGTCAAATATAAATTGGGAAATTTTTGAAAAATAAAAAATGTGTAATTTTGGCTTTAATTGTATACATTACACCTATTTATTTAAATTGTTAAAAACAAATTACTTGTTTCTAAAATGTCCAGTCAGGTTGTTGAATATTGTTTTTGATTTTGATTTCTGTCATGTATGTAAATACATACACGCAAGACTACGGAATTAAACCCACCATTTAAACAACCACTTATG